CCCGCTGAGGTAGACACGGTCCCTCTTCGGTAGACCTGGGCCCCGCTGAGGTAGACCTGGTCCCTCATCGGTAAATCTGAATATCTCGAGGCATATTCACTTTTGACTAAGTTAACAGAAGGAATCAAAGCCAATTAGCGTAAGGAATTGTAGTAAAGTCGATTGGAAAATATTGGATTGGCTAAGTCCATGTAATAATTTGCTCGATAAATTCGGAGCCGAGTTATCGGGGCTTTTCTCGCCAACGATTGGATCCCTGTCCCGCAAACGGTCGGCTCCCTTTCCACCACTAAGTCACTTACTAAAATGACCTAAATGGGTGTGGTGAAATCGATATTGATTCATAGACGATCGAATGGAAAAGTATCGTTGATCCATTTAGTTGGATTGAATTTGTACGGATTACTTGAATGTGGAATAGTGAAATTTCGCAAAGTGTGGATCGCGTCCTCAATTGATTGTAATGGAAAAATCACGATCCGAGATACATATCGTATCGCTATCGAGTTTGGATAGCACCGCGATCCAAGTCTGTATCGCACCGCAATCTTAGTATCCAGGTGGATCCGCGGTCCTTGATTCTGTTATTTCACTGTAAAGGAGCGAGTGAACAAATCTTTGTAAAGTGTAGATCGCGATCCAAATAATGTAGACCACACATCAAGGATCGATCGCGATCCATTGTGCAGAACACGCGATCCAGCTCAGAACCGCGATCCAATTCAGAACCGCGATCCGACTCAGAACCGCGATCCCAATCAGAACCGCGATCCGACTCAGAACCGCGATCCGACTCAGAACCGCGATCCACTTCAGAACTGCGGTCCGACTCAGAACCGCGATATGACTGTGGTGAAGTGCCAGGAAATTCGGGGCCCAAGGTACCAAGGCCCCAGGGTACCAGGGAACAGGGGCCCCCGGGTACAAGGGCCCAGAACTCGCAAGGTCCCAAGGTTCAATCGAGGGTCACCAGGGATAGGGTTTCCAGTCACCAGGGACCGGAGTACTAGTCGCCAGGGACAGGGTTTTCAGTTACCGGGGACAGGGGTACCAGTTACCGGGGACAAGGTTTCTAGTAACCGGGGACAAGGGTATCAGTCAACAGGGACAGGGTTTTCAGTTACTGGGGACAGGGATACCAGTTACCAGGGACCGGGGTACTAGTCACCAGGGACAGAGTTTTCTGTTACCGGGGACAGGGATACCAGTTACCGGGGACAAGGTTTCTAGTAACCGGGGACAAGGGTATCAGTCAACAGGGACAGGGTTTTCAGCTACTGGGGACAGGGATACCAGTTACCAGGGACCGGGGTACTAGTCACCAGGGACAGAGTTTTCAGTTACCGGGTACAGGGGTACCAGTTACCGGGGACAAGGTTTCTAGTAACCGGGGACAAGGGTATCAGTCAACAGGGACAGGGTTTTCAGTTACTGGGGACAGGGATACCAGTTACCAGGGACCGGGGTACTAGTCACCAGGGACAGAGTTTTCTGTTACCGGGGACAAGGTTTCTAGTAACCGGGGACAAGGGTATCAGTCACCAGGGACAGGGCACCCGGGACAGGGGTACCAGCTACCGGGGACGCGGGTTCCTAGTCACCAGGGACAGGGTTTTATTCACAGGGATACCAGTTACCAGGGACCGGGGTACTAGTTACCAGGGACCGGGGTACTAGTCACCAGAGACAGGGATACCAGTCACCGGGGACAGGGGTACCAGTTACCGAGGACAGGGGTATCGAACGTGCAGGGTCAAAGGTACAAGGTTACCCTACCGTCCGCACACCAGGACCCGAAAGGGCCAGTGCCCCGAGGTGGTCCAGGGTCCTAAGGTCAAAGAAGGTACAAGGTATTTCAACGTGCAGAGTCGGTACAGGCCCCAAGGTCCAAGAGCCCAGGGTACAAGAGCCCAGGGTATCAGGGACCAGGGTACAGGGTGCAGGGTACCGGGGTACCGAGGCCCAGGGTACAGGGTACAGGGCCCAGGGTATAGAGGCATAGAGGCCCGGGGTACCAGGATACCGGGGCCTAGGGGCCTAATGTCCGAGGGTGCAGAATCGGTACACAGAATATCGAAGATTACAGAAAGTACAGGTACCAAGGAGCCAGTTCTTCCTCCAAGAGTTGACACGTGGCACTACTCAGATCAAAGGGTTAGGGTTAGGCAAGCAAAAGCATACAAAGTATAAGGTAAATAAACACACTCGAATTTGCATTACACGTGGCAGCTTTAAGCGCTTCCTTCAAGCTTCTCCGTCACCTCACCTATTCCGGGCGGGATACCCTTTGGCCCACCGACGTCAGGTGAGGTGACGGCTCAAGCAACGCAAGGCGAACCTCAATATAGTTGGCCTGAGGTGTCAAGTAAGTGTCAAGACTCAAGTGCGAACTTTTTGCGATCTACCCACCTGTTCCGGGGAAGGGATTTATTTTGGCCCCCCCCGTTGAAGACAGACGTGTGGTAAGATTCAAGCTCGAACGAACCCCAGGAAGTATTTTGGCCTGTGGGTTCGTACCCATTCTACGACCCGCTATAGGAAGCGGTTTCCCTACGGGGAACAAGAAAAGGGTTCGAAGGACCAAGAAATCGTTAGACACCGAAGGGGTACATAGTACCAGGTGCACTGCTCTCGACCCAGTCGATTGAGTCCAAGAAACCCTGTGCCCGAGTGAAGCATATCCACTCGTGTCCCCCAAGTCCACGTCCTATACAAGACCAAGTCTTTAAGTCTTCTGTGTCTAACGAGGAGCAAGACCAGCCAAGCCGACGAGTACACAAGGTGAGACCCAAGGTTGACGCGACACGGTATCGGGGTACCCCCTCCGTAAGTCGGCAGTCCGGCGCTGTGTGTGTTTGTGGTTCTCTCACGTCGTTTGAGAATCCACTCCACCACACGACTCAGAACCGCGATACGGAGCAGATCGCGATTCAGTTCAGATACGCGATCCGAAGTAGATCGCGATTCAGTTCACAAGAAGCATACATTATGGATCGATCGGGATTATGAACTGATACGCGACCTGATTCAGATCGCGATCTAAGAATAAGGCAAGATCTCGAGTGGATGGGGATGGTGCAGGTATATGAAGTAAACCACATATCGTGATCTGATTTTTCTGAAAGGACATCACGCGGTAATAGATCCTGGACTACAGATAGGCAGAATCGTACGTTTTGGTTTTTGGTTATTTAACACTAAACAGAGTTCACATTGCTTCAAAGTACACGTGTCGACTTCTCGATTCCTGGCAGGATATTTGGCCTCCTGATGCCGAGAACATCGACTACAAGTGCACCCTGGATTGTTTTGGCCAGGTGAAGGAATTCTCAACACAACAACTCAACTGTGATCGGACGCAGAAATAACAAGTAATGGCAAGGCAAGCAAGTGTAGGACGGATCAAGTGGTCAGAAGGTTCTGCTCAAGTGGTCAGAAGATTTAAGCTTCGCCTTATTGGACTATTGAGATCTATTAGTACGATCGACAAACAAGTACTCGGTCGATCTTGTGAAAATTTCCACAAGATCACCATTCCCCCTATCCCTAAACCGATTAGGATCACCATCGACTCAAGTCCGCCGAGAAGAGAGCAACCCGCCCAACCGACATATACACTAGGTAGGAAGGCTTTATATACGAAATCGGGGTACCCCCTTCTTAGGTCGGTAGTCCGAGCGCCAGTGGAGAGTTGGAATCGCATCAGCAATTGAGCTAATCCCACTTTACCACAGAATTGGGAATTTAGGCAAGGATAGAGTAAAGGCGCTAAAAGTATAGGACTATACTAAATACTACTCAATTTGCGATCTACGTGGCACGACTCCGTCACCCAAGAAGAACTTGCTCTAAGTTGCTCACTGTTCCGGAAAGGGATATATTTTGACCCCCGTCGAAGACAGTTGTGTAGCGAAGTTCAAGGGCGAATAGAGCTCCAGGATATATCTGGCCTGTGAGCTCGTTCGAGTAGCACCTCCACCCCAGACCCGCTATCGGAAGCGGTCTCCCTCACCTCACGGTCCGGGAGCAACGTAAAGGTCAGGTGGTTGATACTCCTGAAACAAGAAGGAAAAGGCCAGGGACAACAAGCGCCCCTGAAGAATTTGGCTCTAAGCCCACTCTCGACAAGGTCGATCGAGTGGCCACCTACCGGCCCACCGAGTGAAGCATATCCACTCGAGCCCCCCAGGTCTACCTCCCTCAAGGCAGACATCTACATCGTCACCAAGTCCTACGAAGAGAGCAACCCGCCAGCCGACGGGTACACAAGGTGAGAGAAGGTCCATACGCGGCATTAAGGTACCCCTTTCGACAGTCGGCAGTCCAGCACGGTGAGTAATTTGGAGTCTCAATACAATTACAATTTTAACTATTTTCGTCACCACAGAACTAAGCAAACGACTACGAAATCACCCTGTTTTAAGGCACTATGAGGAACCTCTAGGCTACAAGCAATCAGCTTAAGGTTCAGAGAACCAACGCACGGATTGCACAAGAGAACAAGCTATATCGAGACTTGAGATCTTTACTTTTAATATGAGAACTGCTTTAATTTATGCATTAAAATTTTGTGAATTTTTCTATCTGCGTACCCTACCCTAGACTAATTACTATTATAATAATAATAATATGCCATCGTCTGTGTCTGGATATGGAATCATTCAATCATCGGTGTATGTTGTACTTAGTATCACTGTCTCAATTACGAATCTGATACCGATAGTATAAGGTATAACTAATACCTTTTAATATTTTGCATCTGTAATACCCCGTTTAAGAGGATCGGTATAAAGAATGCATAATTTTCATTATAAAACTTCAGCCATAAAGTACTTTCGGTATGATGTTACAACCAAAGTGTAACCCCGTTACACTTTTGATCCACAACAACTGACCAAATTCGCATTAGTATATTGACACATTTAACTTCTTATGTTTCCCTACTTCAAATCCCTACTTTTTAGCATTACTTCGACCGCATTACGACATCATTGGCGATCATGAGCACTTCGAGAGCGCTGCGGGAAATGGGCCTAGTGCTCTCGTGCTTTGCTCGCTTTGGGGGTGTCGCCTTCTGCTTCATGCAAGTGGCCGATACAATCAAGTGCGTGGGTCCATCGATGCTGCCAACGCTCAATCGTGACGGAGATATCGTATTACTGGACAAATTCACACCCAGAATCTGGAAGCTGCAGCCAGGCGAAGTAATTATCGCTAAATCAGTGTCCAATCCACGCCAGTCCGTCTGTAAGCGGATCATTGCCCAAGAGGGAGATACTGTATGCGTGCAGCCCCGATATTCGTCGTCTGAGGTGGAATTTCACAAGGAAAGACGGTCAAACGTTTGACTTTGTCGTGTCATTGAACAGTTTGTTGCCTACTGACTGTGTTATTTGTCTTTCTTAATTGATAAAGTAGGTTCCAAAGGGTCACGTTTGGTTAGAAGGAGACAACAAATACGACTCGCACGATTCTCGATACTATGGACCAGTGCCGTGCGCACTTGTGCAAGGACGAGTAGTCATGAGAGTGAGAGATGATAGAGCTCGAGAGAGGATGAAAGCGTGGAATGTATTACATATTTATAGTTTGTGTTGTGTACAGATTTGGCCGATAAACCAGCTCAAGTGGATAAAGAAAAAGGTGTCGCCTCAGGCATTTCGTGAGAGATAGATTTTACTCTTTGATAACATCCAAGTGACGGGAATACCACAACAAGCCTGGAATAGTCATCCACGTCGAAATCTAAATCGTCTGACTTTGCCTAAAGGAACGAAAGAAATACTTATCACGGGCAGCTTCCATATTAACGACAAAGATCAGCGCGGCAGCCAATCACAAATGCAAACACGTAAGGCAGCTTGCGAATATGGTCAATCCCACCATCTCAGCGCATGAGATCGCTGTCTTGCCACATCTTTTGTATGTAAAGCTGACGATACATTGTGTTGTCGGTTGAAACACTTTTGAAGTGACGGCGCACTTGAGTCAAAAGGATGTTGAAGGTAGGAAGGTTGCTAAAAACTTTATATACCAGTTTACGGCTCCGTCCACAAGAATGAAGTTACTCATGCTAGTGTCATAAATTTTCGCTCGAGCGAAAAAAACTCCGGGACACGTAGCTGAACCCTGGAATCACTTTCTTGCAAGAAAAGGAAAAAATTGTACATATTCATAAAAAGCTGGACGTAAGTTGCTGCCGTGCGAAGGAACTTGACTGCAAGAAGTTTTCGCTTGTTACCATCTGGTAATCGTACCAGACCGAGACTGCGTTAAGCAAATGTGACCACCTCGCTATCTCAATATTCCGTCTTGTGATAGTAAATTTTGACCGTATAATGAAACAGAATTCGTGTTGCTGCTTTGCTAGTATGATTTCCCCATTTTTCCAGCAAAGATTACGTTATAAGGCCGGGCACCCCTGAAATTGGCTAGAATTGACTTTGACCTCATCGTCAAGGTCATTTTCAGCCACAAGAAAATGGGATTAATGAACGAATTCCTAAACGCGTAATCTCTATCGGATGCTTTCTGCTGAACAAGTCTTTTTGAAGGACAACTCCGTCTGCTCACCTTGTCTTGGTCGTTATATTTCTGGATTTGCTCAGCAAAGACCAGAAGAGACTCATACAACCACGACAAGAGCTTTGATATTTCCTATTCAAATACTCGACTCTGTAGCGTCCACTCTGCACAGCTATACGACATACAATAGCTAAAGAATACAGCAGCAAAGGATTGAAGCATTTTGAAGTAGCATTCTTCATCCATTACAATGAAGTCCGAACAAGCGCTTTCTCTGCCTGAGATTTTCCTTTCAAAGAAGCGGCAGCTGATGCAGAACTGATCTTAGAGATACTAATGACACTTGACCAGTTTTCCAATACACGCAGCGACACTACAGCCACCAAAGAAAGCAAGCATGTGGTGAGTAGTACACAAAGTATACACAAATTTCTAAAATCAATTTACGGCGTTCTTACTCTCATTTTGATGATTTATTTGTAACAGTTTCCCATTAATACTTTCCAAATAACGCACCATCTCTGCTGATGAATCCCGTAGCGCTTCAAGTGCCGCCACCTCTTCGTTCTTACTTGCTGCTCGTAGTGTAGCCATATTGATATACAGAAAATAACCGAATGGCACGTTTTGATTGGTCAGAGTCAAAAGTGTATCTCATAGATTATTAACCAATCAGATTATATGTACTGTCCAGTATATCATAAAGGTAGCGACGCCTCTTAGTCTTCCCACTGTGTATGCTCGTGTCGTGCGTAAACACCAAGAAGAAGCGAAAGCTCAGTACTTTAGACGTTGATAGGACGAACATGTGGTCTGCTTCACGTCGTACGGCTCTTCCTAATGGTGTATCCATCTCTTCGTCTCGCTCGCAGTCTCCAGCTCTTGTAGCAATGCATCGTCATGGACGAGCACTCGTGTTACTCGTTGCTTTCGCTTTTTTTGCGTATATTTCACTGTCTTCTGTTTCTATACATTGGAATAAAACAAGCAATACAAATGATATGAATTATCACGAGCAAACGCCTGTGAATGGAGACCACAAGAACAAACAACAGCTGCTTTTGTCATCAGAAAATGACGCCAAACATACTCATCTGAGGCATTCAATACCTTTACAATCATTACTTAAGCCCGACTCTTTTGGTCTTGTTATTGTGGCGGATCTGGACAAGAAATCCAAGGATGAGAGCAGCAAGAAACTGCAATTTATGTCGTACCTCATGCACGCTACACTTAAAATCACGTCTGATAGTTCTAGCTCACAAGTGAAACATGACGTGTACTCTGTTACGTTTGGAGAAGAGACAAAATTTACGACATACATGAATGAGGCTGGACGTGGCTTTGAGCTCAGTGAATTGGTGTGGTTTAATAGCAAGCTGCTGGCGTTTGATGATCGCACAGGTATTGTCTTTCGACTCGAGCACTTTGAAGGTGGTTGCAAGTCGAAACCTTTGCAAGCTATCCCAGAACATATTGTCATGGAAGGAGATGGCATTACTGGTAAGGGTCAGAAACACGAGTGGGCCACGGTCAAGGACGGTGAGCTGTACATGGGCAGTGTTGGCAAGGAGTTCACGGACAGCAGTGGCAACATCATCAGCGATGGAAACCTGTGGGTTGCTATTATGGACCGTGTTGGTGACGTCCGTCACGAAGACTGGACGGCTAACTTTGCGTCTGTGCGCACGGCTCTGGGATGCGACTGGCCTGGATACGTTGTCCACGAAGCGATCGAATGGAGTCCCATCCGTCGTCAATGGTTCATCTTGCCTCGACGTGTGAGCATGGATCCATACAATGACATGAAGGACGAGACGCGTGGCTCCAATAAGGTCGTCATTGCAAGTGAAGACTTTAGCAGCATCCAGGTGCGCGAAGTCGGCAAGGTTACACCACTTCGCGGATTTTCTTCGTTTAAGTTTCTGCCGCGATCAGACGATACAGTCATTGTAGCTATCAAAAGTGTGGAGGTGGAGGACGAAAAGAGACAGACCTCTTTTATCACGGTGTTTGACTTGGATGGAAACGTGCTCATGAATGAGACCGAAATTCCTGGTGCCAAGAAGTACGAAGGTGTTGCATTCTCGCATGATTGGTCTTCGACAATGCTCGTTCCACATTCGTGATTCACCTCTAAGACTTGAGACTCCGCACAAGTATTTCCAAGGTAGAACAGTGAGTTTAGTGCAAGCAATTTCTCGGTAGGTGTCGATTGCTCACCAAGCGTCGAAGCCTTGGACGCTCCGTACAATGCTTCCTACCAATGGAGCAGTGGACAGGTGAGGTGGTCCATGCACGCACTCACTTCCCTTTTCATAATTTAACGGGTCAAGAATGAAGACTGTATTCCTTTTGCAGCAGTTCCCAACTGATATGGAGATGTTCATTGTCTCGTCAGGGCTCAAAGCGCAGTCGTTTTCTTGCAAAGCGACGATATTCGTGTCGCTTTGACTGCCCGCGGTGGCTACTGCAGGCTGTATGTTGACACCAGGATCAATTGAGCTAGTTGTGACTTGCTTGAGTAAAAACTGCAGGGGTTCTTGTGCGCTTGGCAAACCCCGTTGTTAAGGACAGCGTACAAGCATGAATCTTCCTTTGCAGTTGAGTATTAACAAGCATTCCATTGGGTTTTGCCTTTACGAGTTGTGAACAGTACTCATCTGCGCACAAGGAAACAAATGATTCCTGCTCTTCCATAAATAAGCAAAGTATGCGCATCGAGAGTCGTGGATAAGTGCCAATTCAATCGTAAGTTGTCTAGTACCTACGTCTCAGTTAAGTGATGCCTCCAATATGGTCGCAACGTGTTCTCCTGACCCCCAATATCCCAATAATTCAGGAAGTTAAAAGGACTAGTGAGCACATGTAAGACCTCACAAACATTGAGTTCATAGCTGTTGTACTGCATAGTTGACGCTATTGTCGACTAGGGTCGAAAACCCAAGCCTAAGCACAAGTTGATACAGACTTCCACAGCGTCATCAAACGCTACGAGTAGCAGTCGCCATTCGTTGCGATTTAATAGCGCCAGAAGTTTCAAAGACAGCACGGTCCTCATGACATGAGCCGCTTGTGGGCTCAAAGTGCTTACAATTGATTTGATGCAGTCGCAGTCGAGTCGTCGCGATCTCGATTACATGTGCGATATTTGAATAATGTGTTGCTTCATCGTAACGACGGAGCTAACCATGACATGCAAACACATTGTTAATTGGTTGCACTGTGAGAAATGTATTGTGATACCTGCTCCTTGCTACATGTCTCCTTAACCAAGCGAGTCTCCGCCATAACCTTCGCTATTTCCAGCAAGGAAGTCACGCTTACCCGCACCAATCTTTCGCACCTGCGAATCCACCTTCGGACAGTCCGTGATACGATGACCCAGACCACCGCAAAAGGCACAGCCTTTGGTGCCAGTGGCATTTGAAAGTCCATCGCCACTACGCTCCAATTCCTCGTACGGGTCCTCCAACGCCTTAAGTACCGGTGGCACCGTTTGCTTCGCCTCGACAAGTAGATGCTTCAGATCCAAGAGAGCACTCTCCGGTACACTTTTGTTAATGAAGGTCGTTGCGACACCAGTCTTACCACAACGACCGGTGCGACCAATGCGATGCACGTAATTTTCAATCTCGGCAGGCATGTCGAAATTAATGACGTGTTTAATATCTGGAAAGTCGAGACCCTTAGCAGCCACATCTGTGGCGACCAATACATCCTTTTGTCCACTTTTGAACATATCGATAGCCTCGTTACGCTCCTCTTGGTCCTTTCCGCCGTGAATCGAGGCTGCTTCAACGCCTTTCAAAATGAGATACTCATAGATATCGTCCACATCGCCTTTGCGTTCGCAGAAAATAACAACAGGAGGGCTTGTCTTTTGTAAGCACTCCAGCAAGTATACGATCTTGGCATCCTGCTTCACGTACTCAACCTCCTGAATTACATCCAAGTTGGCAGCACCAGCACGGCCGACGTTAACTAGAACAGGCTTCACTAACACGTCCTTGGCGAAATCCTGAAACTTTTGGGGCATTGTAGCCGAAAACAGCAGCGTCTGCCTCTGGCTCGTAAAGTAGTTAAAGGTCGTTGCAACTTCCTCGTCAAAGCCCAAATCCAGCATGCGGTCACCTTCATCCAAACAAATATATTTGCACAAGCAAAGGTTCATCTCGCGTAGTTTTAAAAAGTGGTTCAGTCGACCAGGAGTAGCCACCACAATATGCACACCGCGACTGGCGATCAAGTCCGACTGCTGGCGTTTGTCTTCTCCACCAATGCAAAGCAGACTGCGAAGCTCTGGGTATCCTGCCTTGAACAGGTGGTTCGTAAAGTGCTTCACGACATCAAATGTCTGTCTCATGAGTTCACGTGAAGGCCCAACAATTAGTCCAAAAGGGCCTTCATGTCCAACAATTGACATTTTCTTTTCTTCCTCAAGTGCCAACATCACCAATGGCAAAGTGAATGTCACCGTTTTCCCAGAACCTGTAAATGCAATGCCAACCATGTCCCGTCCCGCTAGAATGCACGGAATTGCTTGAACTTGAATCGGTGTAGGTCTAAGAATGTTTTTTGCCTTTAGAGCATCCAGTATCGCCTTTGGGAAGCGCATATACTCAAACGACTTGATTGGCGGGGGAACGTCCTCTCCTTCCACCAAAATGTGCCACTTTTTTCGAACAGCATTACACTCATCCTGTGTCATTGCTACAATGCTACGTGGTGGTTTCCATGTTGTTTTCATGATATCTTTATAATGAATTCCCTCAGCTCGTTCATGGGCTGATACAAGTGCAATTTTTTGGACATAACTCGCTTCTTTGAGCATATTAATTTCCTGTGCATCTTGTTGTATCTTTTGTTGATTCACTCCATCTTTTTCCATTTGTTTACGCATTTCATACGCTTGATCCAGTAAACTCACACTTGAACGTTCTTCCAGTAATTCATTCAAAACAGGCGACAGTGATTTCGTCGTCACTTTTGTCATTATTTTTTGCTTCTTAGGCCCCGTATCATCCTGATCCTTTGCACTCTCATTATCATTATCATCATAAGTCTCATTTCGCTCATGAAGAGCCTTTCGTCGTTGCTCCAGTCGCTCGTATTCACGCTGACGTCGTACTTTGAGTGGTACATATAGCGTCTCGTTGTCTTCCATGATTATAATGCTATTGTAAATATTACGTTAGTGATAAGAAATTAACAATAGCTGTCTAAACTTTATTTTTTAGATCGTAACATGAGTGCGCCGCTACAATGGACGCGACCGGCACAATTTCTCGTATATCTCGTCCCAATAGGCGACATTCCACTGGATCTTTTTGCTTCTTATGTGCGTCTCTTAAAGACGTATAACACTCTCCCTCTTCGTAGTCTCACACGTCCTGGGGGCTACGCAGCTGAGCTTTCTCCATTTCAAGACCTCGATTGGACCGGTCCTGGAGCAATTCACTTTCACTTTATATCAACAGCTGAGCGCATTGAAACTTTTAATGGAGAGGATGTACATGCCAGTCATCGTGTTATTGGGGCGTTGGGTGTGTGTCACAGTCCATCACTTCTACTCAGCGGGGGGCTGCGTGCCGCCCACGCAGAGTTTAAAGCATCGGTCCGGCATTTAAACGGACTGTTGTTGCATAAACTCTTTGCTTTTGAACACGCATTTGAAGATATTACAACTAAAGAATGTAAAGGTCTTGATGATCTCGTCATGTTCCCAGTACATCATGAACTACCGGGTACAGGTGAATCTACTGTGAGTCTTCATTTACAAGTCGTCATGGAAACATTGGCCGTTAATATTGTCATGTCTTTGGAAAGTGCTATTAGATCGGCTACGTCCATAAAGGCTTTGAATGGCTCGACGCTTTCAGCAGTAGGGGGAGATCTTGCCAGCGTCTTGCTCGATGTTAACGTAGAGCCGCGACCGACAAATGGCGTCCAGCAGTCGCAATTTTCTCCGCTGGTGCTTTCTCGAGACGCAAGAGTGGATGCTACAACTGGCTCTGCTTTGAGTCCTACCACACATTCGTCGGGATCATCGATCTCTTCAATTCCATCGCCGCTGGCTAATGGCGTTGCTGCCTCGGACCGACGCAATCGACGACGGAAACAACAACTTGCTCGGAGAGAAAAATTACTCGGAGATTACAATGTACTTGTATGTTGCATCTCTGGCGCGATGAACCATTACACAGTAGCAGTCGAGATGTTACGTGAAGAAGAACGACGTAGTGGTGGTGCATCGGCGGACGCCTTATGGCTTGCGGCTGCACTGGAAGGATATGTATTTTGTTTATATACAGAGTCACAGGACAAATTCTTGACAGAACTTGTCGAGAAAGCGTCAGAGGCGGTCGCATTTTACGCAAAGGCAGGCACAACCGAGCTCGAAAGTCTACTTATTGAGAATCTTGGGTCGTACTACGCAAGAGTAGCTATGGCGACGTTGGCGCGTACATCAATGACAGGTGAAGCGAATTTTTTGGAAAGCATTTGGACGAAGCGCTTACTTTGGGACGTGCTGGAAAGAGGGATGACGATGTTCCCAGAATTGCACCCTCAGCGCCAGGTACAGTTTTTGATTGAAACAAGTCGAGCTCTCGAAACTGTAGGTCATCGCCGGCGTGCGGCACTCTTTCTTCACGAAGTGGCATCTCTCTTACTAAACCGCAACGCGTCTTTTGTTGATGCGCAAACGAGGTCGTACGTATCACCCACCGACGTCACAAGAGGGTCTCAGCGGATAAGAGATTTACAGGCTGCTCTAATTCTGGAACGAGTTGCGGCAGATCGGTTGGGTATTCAAGCTCCAAGTACCCGAAAGGGCGAATGTTTACCATGGAAAGCCACAACACAATATCGGAGAAATCAGAGGAAGAAATCGTCAGGAACAGATGCATCTACGATCGTCCACGATAATGCATGGCTGATCATTCGCTTTCATGTGCTCCGGCAACTCTTGATCATAGCTAGGATGCTGGGGGACGCGCTTCTCGTCGGAACGTACTGTCTGCAGCTGCTAGAAATGCTGGTATGGTGTGACTCTATTGCTGTACCGCCAATGGTTGACTCACCACACACGTGCTCCTCGCCATCTTGGAAAAAGACGTCTGATCTGCATGCAACGTCGGAAGTGGACCACTTTCAGCGACCTGCTACGTTGCTTCGTGCTTCCCATTTACCTGTGGAACGAGTTGCAGCAGGCCTCCACGCGAAGGGTGGCATTTATTTATATCCACCTCCGGGCATTGACACCAGGGTCAAACGCAACTTTATCAATTCTCCATCCGCCGCCATGTCCAACGCAGCGGCATCTTTATCGTCGACGCTGACCAACACGCCGCGAATGTTAGTAACACCACGGCAGCAATTTTCTGCCGCTGTCAATGCTATATCTACAAAAGCGTCGCCAGCGTTTACTCCGTTTTCAAGTGCACATCATCAGCACAATGAATCTATGGCAGGCCGACCAGATGGCGTGGACGATCGTACGGCTACAGACATCGTCGATCAAAAGGAAGTCGATGGTGAAGGTATGAACGGAGAGGATGAGTACAAAATGTCACGGCTATTGGATGCTGGTGACGGCAAACTGGATAGAACACTGCGTCTTAATAATGCTATAGCAGAACCCGATTCTGTGTGGGATCTGCGATCAAAGACAGAGATTGCGAAGATTGAAGGAAAGCTCCTTCATATGCTGGAGTCTAATTGCTTGGCGTTGCGATCAAATGAACAAATGCAGCTGCCCACATTCTTGAGAATAGACAATCTGGAGCTGCACCCAAGTTGTCCTTGTCAGGATCCTTTTTTTCCCGGGTGACAGCTCTTCAGATGTTCGGAGTGCAGCCTGCATCTAGCCAGCAAGCGGTGAGACCAGACTTTTTCTATTCTCCTTTTGAACAGCATAAGATGCGAAAAACAGGTCAGCGCGGGAATAATGGTAAAGAAGAGAACAGCGATGACACGCGTGCCATGTATGAAAGAAGTTTTTCGGTATTCGAGCGTATAGAGCTCCGATTGACCTTGTCCAACCCACTGGGTGTTATCGTCAAGGTCCAGCAAGCAAAGGCGTGGATTACCTTTTTAGAGGAAGACAAAGGCGTGACTGAAAAAGATGGCAACACGAACCCAGCTATTGAGGTTGAGTGCTACCCATGTATTTTCACACTGCAATCATACGAAAAGCGCAAGTCTGTAGTGCTGAGCATCAAGCCGTTGAGAGTGGGTACCTTTCACGTTCGGGGGTGTTTCATTAAGGCTTTCAACATCAAGACATTTTTTGAATTGGACAACCCTGTCAACATCTGTGTCGTAGCCGAGCTACCTAGGGTATCCCTTTCTCTTCGTGAGCACAGCTCTATGACGCTTATGAGTGACGAAAAAGAGGTGGTTGCTACCAAGGCCCAACTTGCGATGTTTTTGTCCGAGACAAGACGATACACGGTCTCTATACGTAATACCGGAAACCGTCAAATCACAAACTACAGGCTTGCAGTCACCATTCAGCATCGGCGTGAAGCAAAGCATACATATGTGGTATTCAACAACTTGCCACCGGTATCAGCTACAACAGAGGATGGTAGTGTGGAGGTATTACGCAGCACCACCGATAATATGAGCGCTAATGAGTCTGGAACGGTCGACACGCCATTTTTATCGTTGAAGTGTGACAAGGTGGTGTCGCCTTCGCTACCGCTTGCAAGCGGTGATCTCGTGAGCATTCCTTTTGAGGTATCACTTCGAGGAACTCATAAGTCGGTGAAAGATGATATTCAGATTGAATGGTGCTTTGTCTATGCTGACGAGGCACCTTTCAGTCCAAATGACATTGGTGATTCGGCAGATGCAATCTTTTATCGAGAAAGCAAATTAGCTTTAGAGGTCGTGTTACTTCCGTCGCTGATGCTTGAGTCAGTAACGTTGCTCCCCTGTTCTGCAGTACAGATTCCGACAAGTTGCCGACCACACGTAGATGAAACAGGTGCGGCTTGTAGCATTGGTAACTCAGCTCAGGTAGTGACTACGGACTGTTTGTATTGTGTCATCATGGTACACATCGTCAATCCTACGGAAACATTATTTCGATTCCGCTTGCGTCACAATACTGATACCAGCGGTGATGTCATTTGTGAAGAGGAAATTGGTCGTCGATGTTCTCGCCGTTTTATTGTAGAAGTTCCGCGCTTTCAGTCTCTAACTTCAGACCAAGAGCCTTCCAGCTTGGCTAATGTACTGAATGATCTTGTGAAAATGGAGTGGGAGACGTACTTTGGTATACAAGGACGACTTCTTTGCGAGGATCACAATGTGGGATCGTTTACTGACCACGAACAAGCAAAAATAGAGCTTTTCTTACCACCAGTTCGCTTCCAGATGGAGTCCCCGCACAAAGATTTCGCGTTAGCTGGAGAAGGCTTGAAACAAGATGGAGATATGGGTGTATTGAAGAGCACAAGGGGAAGGAGCATCTCGCTTCGCACGTTAAACTTCTTCGAGCTGTCGCATCTGCGTGTCAAGTCGCACAAATTGCAAACCACACTGTTTGAATACGTTCCGATTGCTATTGCGGTTCAGCGCGTAGACAACAAAGAGCGCGCGCTTTCCTTGGAGGTGGAAGTGATGATTACTGATGAAGGAGAGAAAGCTGTTCGTAAGATGAGCAACCATGTAATGGTTGTGGGAAAACTAAAAGTCTACGTTCAATGGGATGACAGGATGGATTGGAGCACACAACTTCACGAGATTCAGTGTATGTTTTTGTCGGAAGGTAATTTTCGCGTTACAGTGTGCGGTCGGATCCTTAGCTCCGATATGAAGCAAGTTGGTGGCGAGATCTGGTGCCACCAATCGATACATATATGCGTTCGATCGAAAGACGCATTTGTCGCCGAATAAAGTGTGGCTACTACTTAATGCGCGTGATAGCTAGAGTGTCATGTGGCGTCGTGTCTTCGTTTTCGTTGAATATGTAGACTTGGTTGAGTGAGCTAGAAAGTTAAAGCTCAACCTTCATTCGGTATGAATGAAGGAGAGGAAGAAACTATTGTGGGAATGTTGGTATGGTAGTGACAATTGCGGCATGTGGACACCGTGTCAAAGCGCACATATTATAAAGAACAAAAGAAGTTTACTGTCGCAACTACATTTTGACGTGCGGATTCTTAATGGGTATTCCCGTCTCGTGATAGCCGTCTGCCGTGTCTGAGCTAAACACATCCCCTGTACCTGACGTAACTGTTCATGACCGGCCTAGAGCAGGGGGATCCGCTATAGCGTGTTTTCTCATTTTACTAGCACTAATTTGCTGAGCCTGGAATTTGGTGGCGTCTCTTTACTACGCTCCACCTTTTTCCAGCTTCGAGGTATTCCACCAACGAATCATCTGCGTATTTCTTTCCTGTTTGCTTTTGATCATAAATACTTTCAGTGCATCTGTCTTGAAGCTGCAACTCTCGAACAGCGCATACGGACCTAATCACAACATCTCATACTAATTGGTACAGATGTTATCGAGTACCGAGTATCTTCTACCGATGAACGCAGAAAAAAATTCTTGCAAGTCTGCCTTGTGTATCCTTTGTTGATCTGACCTCCAGTAGCTGACAATTGCATGCAAGATGCATTAATTAGAAGTTATCGACAACAATAGGGTCGCAGATGATCCAGTAAGTACAAAATGCTCCATACTAAGAAGCATTCAGTACTGGGCTCTACGGCTCAACGAGGCTTAATTTATGCCTTAAACTAATGTCAAAGACGTTTGAGCAGTGTTCACTAGGCAAGAAAGGCAATATGTGATCAACTTCCTACAGAGTGAGAAGACTTCCATCATATCTTTCCTATTAAGTATCAAATATTCAGCAGATTGCTGAAGTCTGTTCTACGATAGGAGTAAGCTTTAGCTAATTCTAGAATGCCTACATCTCCGTGAATGTTAAAGACCGACTCCAATGTTGACTTCGAAAGAGGTGTGGGTGACCTTTCCGCATACTTGACCTACGCATTGAAGTGTAAGGTGCGTGGTCGTTTGCCACCAGGCTGGTCAAGCTTAAACAACTTGAAGACGAGATTTGCATCTACTTTCCGCTCTTCAAAATAAGTCATCAAGTGATTTAAAGCAAATTTGACCACGCCATCAGTGCCTTTAATCTTTTTCAAGTCCTCAAAAATTACCACACGCATCTCATCGCTGCAGCTATCTATTGCCACCACCATCTCGTTAGTCTTGTCCTCTTAAGTGTTTCCATACTCGAGCCACGTATTGAGCAGTTTTTCGCGAACAAGGGGGTCAGTTGCTTTGTCAAGCCATAAGTGTTTGAGGGCTAAGGTATATTCTTCGCCTCCCATGAAGCAATCAGCTTAACTTTGAAGTTGAGTACTACATCTTCTGTACCTTTGGCCGCTACGAAAGCCTCAAGCATTCTCGCAAGGCCACCGGGACCGTAAGTTACCTGCACTTTTTTCATAATCCCATCTGAAACGGATGCGGGTGCATTTGCCGCATACCTGACCCACGCCTTAAAGTGTAAGGTGAGTAGCTGTTCTTTGTCAAGCTTGAGCGAAGTGAAGGCGTTCTCTACAGATTCTCTCTTTTTCATCAGATTCTTATAGAGCCTGATTTCGTCGAGATGTGACGCCGACGAGCTGACAAATTTAGTGAGTGTAGCGGAGCTGCTCAGCTCTTTAGCCAGAGGAAGTCTTTAGGCTGAAAGCCTCTTAGTTCAAGAGAACTAAATAGAGTTAAGGCTAAAAGCCACTTAGTTCTAAGGAACTAATTAAACGACTTAAAGTCACCCTGTTCTAAGGAACGAGGAAAGAGACTTTTAGTCAGTCAAGCAATAAGCTTAAGGTTCAGAGAACCAACTAACAGAGTGCAAGAACAAGCTAGAAGCTTAAAGGTTCATAGAACCAACGCACGAAGTGCACAAGAGAACAAGTCAGAACGACTTGTGATCTTAAACTCAAATGAGAACTGATTTTATTTATGCATTAAGATTTTATGAATAGTCCTACTCTAAATACACTACACTAGATTAATTACTATAATAGTAATTATTATATGCAGACTTTGCTATTGGACGACGTATCGTCTAAACATCTGTGTATGATGTGCTTAGTACAGCGTTATCGATTTATCGAATCCTAATCGATAAGATACGGTATTACCGAATACCGTCTCTTTAACGCTTATACTTAATACCTCTCTAAAGAGAAGTATCAAAATGCATTATATGCAATAAAAAGGGAATTCAACCGTAAACTCTCGGAAAGACGCTACAACCGTCGTGTAACCCCGTTACACCCTCTCCCACCAGACTAACGTCTCCATAGAATGTCATTCGACATCTTTCCTCTTTGAGGTAGTAATTTAGCGAACCTTTAAACTTTATGGTTTGTTCACGGCACATAACATGACGCCTACTGGCAATGAGTCACAGACTCTACGGGACCTCGTTGACGACAACCTTGACCAAGCGGTCGATTACGAAAGTGACACCGTCTTTGTGGGAACCGATGGGTCCCCTTTAACCATGAAGATGACACTCGTCATGCACCGAATCCGTTCCCTGAACGTGGTGCTGAAGATGCGCTAACAGCGTTACGTGACCCGCCTGACGTATCATCAACGGCGACGGTTACCAACGTACTCGACGAGCAACAACAGCAAACCATCGACCTAGAGGAAGGTGTCAAGCGCCGGACGAAGAATATGGCGAGACTTCAAGACCACCGACAGTATAGGTTTAAAGCACCTACGGTGGAAGAACGCCTAAAGGAGGCATCTGGACATTCCCTTTCGGGCTGGGCCATTGGGCCTGAGACCATTTCACCCGAGGATGTAGCTACGCGAACGGCCCTTCGACAACGCTATCTGGAACCCCATAGCACTACGCAAAGACAATACTTGGCACGCCTCAACAGGCAAGTGCGCGGTGCACCAGTCCCCCCCCCTTAAAGGGTGTCCCCATCCTTTTATTCGCGGGGGAAACCGAGGAAGAAGAAGACACGGATTTTAGCCGCTGGGCGCATCATGCGCGACGTTTAAGCAGCATGTGGGCCCTACGGGCAAGTGTCAATGTGGCAGATGTTCGACTCGAACGGAAAATGCGTTACGATTACGCTAAATTGAAGGCACGAGGAAAACTGAAATCCCAACGAACGCATTATGCTTCGGCTACCCAGCACCCCAATGTTTCGGCTTCACCTGTAGCCGCGAGCCCACGACAAGCTGAGGCCGCTAACTCGCCTACCCCCACCACTACTGGTGAGAAGCGTCACCGCCAATAGGCTGACCCTGCGCACGACGCTCAAAAACGTCCACGGCGTATGGGCAATCCTGCCGAAGGGGAACCTCGAACTCCCATGAGTTTTACGACTCGGGATAACCCCGCCACTTTACCAGATACTAGTTTTGACCATGGCGGCGACGTTTCTGCAACAAACGTTCAACATGGAACTGAAGGTTCTTGTGGTGGAGTGGGTTCTCAAAATTGTATGATGAGATCCCAAACAACTCACTGTGCCGGACTGCCGACTGTCGGAGGGGTACCCCGATGCCGCGTAGAGACCTTCTCTCACCTTGTGTACCAGTCGGATGGCGGGTTGCACTCTTCGGAGGACTTGGTGAAGATGTAGACGTCTGCCTTGAGAGAGGTAGACCTGGGGGGCCTCGAGTGGATATGCTTCACTCGGTGGGCCGGTAGGTGGCCACTCGATCGACCTTGTCGAGAGTGGACTTAGAGCCAAATTCTTCAGGGAACTTATCCCTGGCCATTTCCTTCTGTTTCAGGGGTATCAACCACCTAACCTTTACTTTGCTCCTGGACCTTGAGGTGAGGGAGACCGCTTCCGATAGAGGGTCTTGGGTGGTGTTGCTACTCGAACGAGCTCACAGGCCAAATATATCCTGGAGCTCTATTCGTCCTTGAACTTCGCTACACAACTGTATTCGACGGGGGTCAAAATATATCCCAACCGGAACAGTGAGTAACTTAGAACAAGTTCTTCTTGGGTGACGGAGTCGTAGCCACGTAGATCGCAAATTGAGTAGTATTTAATATAGTCCTATCCTTTTAACTCCTTTACTCTATCCTTGCCTGAAGCTCTGATTCCTTGCGTCGACTGGTCTGATCCTTGTGTTAACTGGTCAGGAGTGGCTGAACCCCGAGGGGCCGAGGTCGACTGACGAGGGATCCAGGTCGACCAATGAGGGACCCAGGTCAACCAACGAGGGACCCAGGTCGACCGATGAGGGATCCAGGTCTACCGATGAGGGACCGGGTCGACCAATGAGGGGTCCAGGTCTACCGTTGAGGGACCTGTTCGACCAATGAGGGACTGTGTCGACCAATGAGGGCCATGGTCGACTCTCTTCGGTACTGGATAAACAGTACCCTGGTAATGACCTCTCCTTTGTTTGTCTGTCACATCCTCAGCCAAAGGTCGCTTCACTCCGAGGTTCCCTTTATCTCCGGTCCCTTCTTTCTGGTGCGTGGTCCCTTCTCCCTAGTCCACGGCCCCTTGTCCCTTCAATCCAACTGGCCCCTGGGCTCTTCACAATTATGGAAAGCACTTCACCACAGCCGCCCCTTGCGCTTGCTCAGCCGTACAGCGGTTTGAGCACGCGCATGTCTTCTTTGCCTTCGTCACGTGAGTCCTTTACTGTGCCCT